TTGGAGAACTACATTATAGGCATATCGAATAGTTCAAACGGATATCGAAAATAATTAAAGATGCGTTAAACGCGAGTTTTAAAGAAATACGTCTAACTCGCATTTTTTTAAAAAAAAATTCAATTATTTCATCAACATTTATTATTTTTGCGATACAAATTTCCCAATGTAATTTTCATCATTTTATTAGGAAATTTTATATGAAATATGACATAAAGAATTCGAAATTTTACATTCGAAAAAGTCATCCCACGTAAATTTTCGAAAGCAAAATTACATGGGATATGATTTTTTTGTACGTAAATTTTCGATTGTAAAATTTCTCCCAACTTCTTTATAAATTCAATTGTGCTCCCTAACTTTAAATTTCTCCGTCCGCCCCTATTTTCAACTACAAACATATGCCAAATATGATAAAAAAAAATGTGGTTAAATGCACCACAAAAGACAACAACATAGGCGGCTATGGTGACAGCGAGGAAGGATGTCAGAAATCTTAACAAAGTTTTTTCAGAAATTTGGCTTGACACCCATTTTAATAGAAAAATGAGTTTTTGAATAGTGATTGATGGAAGAATGTGTGGTTAAAAAGTAAGAAAAATTTTTAGATTTATGTGTGATATTATTTTATTGATAAAATGTATGGTTGAAATGAAGAAAGAAAAAAAGAATGAGAATGAGAAAAAAATAAGTGTCAAACATGGACACAGTAGTAAAGCATAGTTGGACGAGTAACATTTCATAAAAGGATATCTACAGCGTACTATAGTTTATTCATTAATCTGTTTAACCTAAAAGGCAGTGATAAAAGGGTATCTACAGCATACTATAGTAAATTTTCTCTGTTTATTTGCCAAAAGTAAACACATAATAAACAAGCTTATTGGAATTTATCAAAAANACAGCATACTATAGTAAATTTTCTCTGTTTATTTGCCAAAAGTAAACACATAATAACCAAGCTTATTGGAATTTATCAAAAAACTTGGATGTGTTGACAGCCTACTGTATGAGTATGGTAAATATTATTCCTCACGACAACTATGCTAGGAACCCGAGCAGAATACTTGACCTTAAGGGAGTGTATAAGCCAGAGATCCTTTAATAATTATATCAAAAGTTTCCATCCTATCAAAATCATGTGAATCGATTCTCAAAATTTATTTCTTGACGTTTAGATCTTCAACTCTTGAAATTCGTAACATCTTGCTCCTAGTTTCTATCCATATTTCCATTAACAAGTTTAATTAAAAATACGTTGTATTCATATTCTTAATCAAAATAAAAAATTTAAAAACAGACTTGTTTCTGTACCTCCATCGAATACACTCCCCTCCTCCATATCAAAACCGCCATTTCACGTACGACCAAGTAGAGCACATGGGGGAGGAGAGATAGGGTTGCAATATACTTTTATTTTAAGAAAGTCGGTCAGGTAAGAATCGTGTATTTTCAACATCTGAAACCCATAAGCAGGGCCGGCCCTGGGGCCAAGCCACCTAGGCAAAGGCCTAGGGCCTCAAAAATTTGGGGGCCTCAACATCCATACTGACCATACAGCAGTCCAGCCCTAAATGAAAGGAAGATTGACGAGAAGGCAGCACCAAATAATAGAAAAAAGGGGAGGAAGTTGAAGGGACTCTTTCTGTCTTTCATTCGGCATTCAAGAATTCTGGTATTCTAACCTTCATTACACGGCTGCACCAAGAAGAATTCTGGTATTCCAAATCGCCTATCCGTTTCAATTATTTGCTTTTATTTCATTCTCTGCGTGGATTTATGTGAGATTCAGTTTAGATGTCCTTCAATTTATTCCGGGTGTGACCGTGTGAGTGTATACCCATTGAAAGTTGCAAAAGGAAATGCTATACTTTCATTCGGGCGTTTTGTTTTGACATCTTTTTTATGTGGTCACCCTGTTATAAGATATTATTTCTTTAATAAACTATTTTTTTAAGAGAATACAAATGTTTCTTGGTACATTACTACTCTCTGTTGATTTAGGAAAATGGGTTTAGTGCAAACAAATTGCATATTTAGTGTTTGATAAATTGCATGTATGAGCTGATATGCTGTATAA